AACTGATATCAAACTATCAAAAGATTACACAATAATGAAAATAAATGTATCCAACATAGAAAGCATTTCAAATAAAACAAAAAATCTGTTTCAAGCATTTTAACCTAGGCTATTAACAAAATCAAACAAAAAAAAGAATATTTATTTAAAGGATGGTGAAAATTCAACATATTGTTTCATTAATTTTCTTGGTGGGGAGGGGATGTACCCGGTAAAGTCTTGCTATAATCAAGATCTTTCTTTTTTTAAATAACTGTACACGAGCTGTATCAATGTCATTTTTGAGAGGATAGTTACTACGTAAATTTTTGATACCTTGAAAAAAAGTGTTGCTAGTCATAAATACTGTATAATAGATTTTTATGGAGTGGGAGTGGGGATTACCCCGTAAAGTCCTGAAGTCATCAAGATTGTTGCATTGAATTACTGTATATTAACTTATCAATGTCATTTTGAAAGGAAATTTACTCCGTAGGTTCTCTATAAGTACCAAGTCATAAATACTGTATCAGTGATTTTCTTTTTTTTTGTGGGGGGGGGTAGGGGGGTACCCTGGCGGCACAGTTATGGGTACAGTAAGGAGGCAGGGCCTAATTTATACGGGAAATGTTTGCTATGACGCCACGCATAATATAAGGTCTTCAAAATACCACAAAATGATATTATTTGCTACCTCAAACTGCTGGATAGCTATAGACTACTTAAACACTTACTATTACATGCAGTTTTGACGTTTGTTAAATCCCACACAATGATATATAAAACGATTCATCAATATCATAGTGCTCAATGCACTTGTCAATGTGACGTCATCTCGCAAAAATGCCGCAGTTTGTACTCAGTGAGAGGCTGATCAAGTCACTTTTGTCCAATAAAAAATTTTCAAAGAAAATATTTTTTGCTGTTAGACAAAAGGCCGTTAACTTTGATGCAATGTCTATTTTACTATTTTATTTTTAAGATGTCCGTATATTCTCAAGACAAGTGATACTGTCGCATGTTTGTATGCAGATTCATGTAAATTTCAAAAAGTAAAAGAAGAGCCCTAATAAATCAAATTATTGCAAGGGCATACCCTCAATGTATCTTGTCAAGTTCTTATACATAAACTTAAAAGGCATAAAGATATTTGAAAAGTGCTGCAAACTTCATGAAATCTTGCACATAAATTAATCATAGCTATACAATGTAATTAATGTAGTTGACCAGCAAAATATTCAAACTGTCGTCAAACAAATTAAATATTAGTAATTAAATAAGGGAATCTATATAGGTTCGCAGCACTTTTCACAAAATACATATAGTGTTGATAAGAATTTAAAATTAAACTAAGATTTTAAACTTGGTTATCTCACACCACTAGGAAGATTAACAGTTTTGAAAACACCTTTATTGCCAATATTGAACCACATTTTTGCCTCGCTTCCAAATTCTACTGATTTATATATAAAAGATTTAGAATTAGAAAACACATTTTATTCTTTTGTAATGGGAAGTAATACTTTTAGACTGAAAAAAGGTGTTTGTATTAAACATCTTAAAGATGGCGGTTTCAAGGTGATTAGTATGAAAGAGTTTATTATGTCTCTGAAACTGGTATGGATGAAAAATGTTATACTGCAAGGTAAATATTCATATTTAGCCTTAGATTAAAAAAAAAGTTTTTTGAAATAAAAGATGTAAAAAAAATGTTTTGGAAAATATTTTAGAAGCCTGGCTACTTTTTTCTAAAAAAAAAAAATACCAGAACCAGAAGCAAATGCCTCTATGGAACCACTATTTTTAAATAAAAATATTCTGATTGGCAAAAAAACTATTTCTTATAAAAAATGGTTTGAAAATAATATTTTTTTCGTAAATGATCTCTTAAGAGAAGACGGTTCATTTATGGATGTAAATATGTTTAACTCAAATATGGAATCCATACAAACTTTCTTGAGTACAATGGACTTAGAGCTGCTATTAAAGAATGGATGAAAATCAAAAAATTCTTTCTTTCTTTGTTTATATGCCATATATTAAACAAAAAACATCCTCTTTATTAAAGGCAAAGAAATCAAGAAATTTATATGAAATTTTGAAAAGCAATGACATCAAACCATTAGGTCAAACTAGCTGGAATAGAATTTTTAACTTGAATGATACTGAATGGGAGAAAATTTTTTCTTTTCCTTTTAAGCTCACAAAAGATACAAAACTTCGGTGGTTTCAGGTCCGAATTAATCATAAAATATTAGCAACAAACTCCTTTTTACATAAAATTAAGAAAATAGGTTCATGTGGGTGTTCTTTTTGTGAAACTGAAACAGAAACTATTGCACACATCTTCTGGGAATGTGAAGTAATACAAGACTTATTGAATAGTTTTGATAGTTATTGTTTTAAAAAGATTCATATGAATGTTGTATATTCAAAGAAAGAATTCATATTGGGATCTTTTGCAAAATTAGACAAAATTAAATACCGTAAATCTGGAAATTTTTACGTCGATTTATTTTTGCGAATTTGGGTCAAAAAGCTGTTGATTAATTTTTACGCTTCAAATTTTTGCGAATTGTAAATGGTGCTAAAAATAAAAATCACTGAAGATTTTCATATCAGGTTATGTTTCATATAATATGCCCCGTTAGAATACCACCAATATACTTGCAACGTGGCAAGATATTGCAAAATCGCTCCAAAACAATTTTGATAAAAATACAAAAGGATTTGCACTGAAAATAAATTCTAAATTAATTATAAAAAACATTTTAAAGGTTGTGTATGCCTTTTAACCTAAAGAATAATCCAAATGAAGAAAAAAATATAACTTATTTCTCAACGTTTTTTTTTTTCCTCACCTATAATTTACACGCCGCGTTTACATTCGGAACTTTCTAGTAAATGCACAGAGTTTGAGTTATCGCCCGTGTTGATACACGGTTAGATAAAATGACAGTTCTCTCTTTATTGGCAAATTAATTGATGAAAATAAAAAGGGACTCAGTGCTTGTCAAATCATCGGACGATATTGCATATAATAAGGGCAATTTACACACACCGGCGGGTAATTAACTTGTTATATAGTAGACTAGTGTAAACAGGTTTCTTTTAAAAATGACCAGTGTTTACCGACGCATATTCACTGAGTAAAAAAAAAAAGACACAAGTTCTCAGAAAAAAATTCTTCACATGTTGATTTATTTTTAAGAAAAATATTTTTGCGAATGCAATGCACGCGCAAATTTGCTAAAAATTTATCTACAGTAAAAATTTCCAGATTTACGGTACCTCATTGCTCTTCAAATTAAATATTTTATCTGTAGAATGAGATGTAGTGGTAAAACCTCTCCTTGAATGGACTGATATCCTCCATCAGATATATGTATGAAACAAACAAGTACATTGCATATAAGAACAACAATCAGTTGACTTTTGACGAAACCAGGAGCCCCTGGAAGAATCTGTTGATGTAATTTTTGGTTATCGCAATATCCCTTCTCTCTCTCTCTCTCCTCCCTCTCTCTCTCTCTTGCTCTACTTTCCCACTATCTCTCTCTCTCATAAAAAATTACAGAAAATGTATCTTCGTATTGTAAAAATTTGTATTAAAATCTGTTAATAAAAAAAACAAATAAAAAAAAAATAAACTTGGTTATGTCCTTGCAATATTGGAATTTATAGATGACCTCTAAACTGCAAGTACAATTGCTACAATAATGCATGTGACGCCGACATCACATGACAAGTCTAAATAAAATAAAAAAAATCTTTATGTCCTCAATATATAGATTTGAGCCACATGTTATATTTTTGATATCAGTGAAGGAAATTTACAATGTACCTTGTCTAGTTTTGCTATCTTTAACATTTTTCATGTCATAAATACTGTATTAGTGTTTGCTTTTTAAGGGGAAATTCACTTGCTATCGCTCTATGTAAATATGTATTGTCAATATACCCCCTAAATGTATTCAGTTCAGTTTGATTTTGATATTAGATCATCTATATACTAGGAAAACGCTGATTTTCATCATCCTTCTAATAAATATCTTATATATAAAATTTGGTTTTGTTTGATTTTGTCAATACATTTACTGATTTTTCACCATCCTTCTAATATAAATTTCAGCTTTGTTTGATTTTGTCAATAAATGAGGGCAAAATGTTTAAAAAAGAAAACAAAATTATATATTTTCTGTTTTGATTTTGTGAATGCGTAATTGATTCTTTCATCTGACAAAAATTATTTACACTATTTTTCATTACTTTATTCCAATTATTGATTTCTTTTTTTTACTTATGCCCTTCGCAGTAAATGAATGCGACGTAAACTAATGCATACATGACGTGATTTACAAATAACGACATAAACGCTTTACAGTGTACTGAATAGCTTTTTTTGTAGAAATAAAATTTTAATCCGCGTTAGTTAACTTTGTTTTAGCTGCCTTGTGAACTCAATTTAATTCGCATAATTTTTTTCGCAGTTATTAACTTTGCATTAATGTAATGCGAAGTAAACGCTCCGTGTGAACAGGCATACTTGTAACTGATTACAGGTAAACATTTAGTGATTAGCATACTTTTCCTTGGTTTTGGACCAAATATAGCACATAAACCTATATCTTACCACCAGAATGTACCAGTGACTTAATTCTGGCTTTACGCATGCGTCAAAATTTAATTCTAATTAGCTTTGCTAAGAGTTCACGCGGTGCTAATGCAAAGTAATTTAATGCGCAGTAAACTAATTCGAATTAACCTTATTCGCATTAAATTTTTCGTGTGAACTCGATTCCAATTTAATTTGCAGTAACTTACATTTAATTCGAATTAATTTTTCGTGTGCTAACAGGGTATTCTTCTTCTCTAACAACGCTTAATATCTTTCACCTTTATAGATTTTCAATTACTTTTTAATCTAAAGATATAAATTCCTACCCAACACAGAATCGAGTATATGTAAACTTCATTGACTGTAAAGGGGTGTAAGTACACTTATTTTAAGTTTTACTTACATTTTTGCTGTCTCAGTGTGCTACAATATTTCTTTCGCTGTTCCTTAATATAAAGAAATTCACAAATAAAAAATATACAAAGGTTGATAAAAAACCGTTAGAAGATCGTTTTAAGAATACTTCCTTTTAGCCATATAATAGACTGAGTTTTCTATGAAGTTAAGGACAGATGATACAAACAATTTTTTTCTTTGAAAAAGATTAAATATCATGTCACAAGTTTAGAAAAGTGGATGGTTCTTAGAATTTTTTCTCCGAAGAACTGGAATATGAAAAAGACTTGGTAAATATTAGTAATATTTCAATGAAAACACAAATATAGACAAATCACATTCAGTAAAGGTTTACAGGTGAAAATAAATTATAGAATATGTTTTCCTGGCGCTAAAAGTGTAAAATAAACTTAACAAAAATATACCGAGCCAGGTGAATTTTATTAGGAAAAGCTAAATGGTTAAAATCAGCCTTTGTGATATTGCCAGTTTTTCTGTAATTTCGATCTTCCTCTTAAAATTCACCTGGCTTGGTATATTTTTCTAAGGTTTATATTACACTTTTTACGCCAGGATAACATATTCTGAAATTTATTTTCACCTGTAAACCTTTACTGAATGTGATTTCTTTATATTCGTTTTTTCATTGAAATATTACTAATATTTCCCTAGTCTTTTTTCATATTCTAGTTCTTAGGAGAAAAAATTCTAAGAACCATCCACATTTCTAAACTTGTGACATGATATAAAATCTTTTTCAAAGAAAACATTTGTTTGTATCATCTGTCCTTAAAGTGAAAGAAGAATGTTTTTTTAAATATAGGATACGATGATAACATTAAGGTGTGATAATACACACCCCTACTAATGTGTTCGGAACCTTTTATTTATCGGTGTTCTGCAAATTATAAGACCCGATGAGTTCAGAGTAGCTCTGGCAGTGGCTCTGGCGAGAGTTAGCGAGACTTCAGCGAGATAGGGTAAATTATTCACGGAAATGTGGCTAGGAAGTGTCTAGCACGTGGAGACATGGTAAACAGAAAAGTTATGTTGCGTTTCAGTTTTAACCACCCTAGAATCAGCTGACAATGTCTGTAGAAATGTACTTCAGTCAATCGATCTCTCTTACATTCATTCAAACACCCGTAACATCTTTAATAGTTTCTTATCTTTGTATTCTGTTCTTAAGAACATTTTTAAAATTATTTTGTATTCGATTGCCATGATCATAGGTTGACCTGAACCACGTGTTCGAAGTAAAATTTAAACATGTATTTGGCGTAAACGTTGCTATTCATTCCAACGATTGGTCAGTTGCTCGTGGTAAGATCCGCTGTGCGCATTTATAACAATAGCCATATAAGGCAAACAATGGTTTGTCAGTGTCGATGATACAACACATTTTTTACCAGCGAATCGGTCACTAGTGAGCTCTTATTTTCGCCGAAAAGTATAAGATATATTGTTATTTTAACACCCCCTCCTTTAGTCACACCCTTTCTGTTGAAAATCATGAAAGTCTTTCAGAAAGGTCTGGAAACATTTATTACAGGACATGTTTTCAAAAGAAACAGGCTATAGCAATATCCTGTTTACTACCAATTTTATTTATAAAACCGGTTCTACCCAATAACCTTTGAATAGATCAACCTAAACCACGTGTCTTGAATTTAAATCACAATAACATTAGTAGGGATGATACAGAAATACACGTTTATTTTATACCCATAGATTGTAACAGTGGGTTTTAAATACCTTGGCAGTTTCAGAAAATGTTCTTTAAATTTAGGACAAGACTACTGTAAATGGGAAAACAGATTTTTAGTGCATTTTACAATATGAAGCATAATTGAAGGTTTAATAACTTCCTGTTTCCCAAACATTGTCGTTCTTGCTTAAAGACAGGATGAAAGAAGCGACATTGTGCAGCTTGGACACCAACATGCTTTTTTCAAAATACATCTTTCTTTTTGTTAAAAAAATTAGCATTTTTTAATACTTTGAAATGTCATTTGCTTTCCTGAACGGACCTTTCATATTCAAATACCAACCTTCACAAAAAAATTAAAATAATCACAGGGTTGTCTTTAAAACCAGCTAATTTTGAAACTTCTTTTTGATATCATCTAGTTCAGTAATTGGTCATATTTTTCATGGTAAAAGAAGGAACATTGATATAAAGCATTGTGACAATAGAACCTAGTTCAAATTTGGGTAAATAAGTAGATCTATTACCAGTAAGATGCGACACACTTTTGACCAAATGTTTTTAGCTATGTAAAAAGCTGCTAATTAATATTTGGCAATGTTTCATTAAAAAATTGGATGTTTATATATAAATAGTTTACGGGATGGTTTCGTCCGTCTACTACTGATTCTGGGTCAACCGTGAGCTTTCCTCTTATTGTTGAACCCAGATTCTTTAAAACCTCAAGACACAACACGAGTTACTAATTTGTAGTTTTATATAAGGAATCAGCATTGGATATACTTTTACATGAGTTTGGGATGTATCAGCACCGAAGGTCTGATTCCAACTGACTATAATTTTTCACAACAAAACATACATACTGAACAAAGACAGAGTAAAATAAGGATTAACAAAAGGTAAATAGAAATCAAGTATCAAAGAATTATTGAGCGAATAGTGACATTTTAGCAGTATGTATATAATAGAATTAAAGATGAAAGATTAAGTGTCAATAAATATAAACAGATGTCAATTAGGGATTAACTGTCCAATCTCTGACTATGCCTCAGGTGGGATTAAGGCTGTGCAGAATTTATATAATTGATCACATTTGCCGAAATATAAGAAAAGTTTTGACAATAATTTACACAAAGTCCGAAAAGTTAATTTACACTGTAATTTAAAATAAGTCCAAAAATGTTGTATTTTACACCGTAACAAATATATTTGCACATATATAGTAAGACTTTTTAATTCTTGTGTAATTTGTCAATTCTGTTAACTTGCTCCAGTAAATAGAAGAAACGAGATAACTGACTTTTGCGTCAGATAATTATTAAAAAGAGTAATATATGATAAGTGTATCAAATGGCCTCTAAAATAAATATATTAATTTTAATAAAGTTTGCATGTTCCAAGATGCGCTCGCTCTATGTCAAGAAAAGCCCCATTTTTGTCTCGTTTTGGTTGGATTGCAGAAATAGCATGAATTGTGACATTATTTTTAGCATATGAGTGAATATAAATGTAAAAAAACAAATGTACTGGAAATATTTTTAATGTAATCTCTGCTACAAAATAAAAATCATTTATACCTATATGAATATCACTGTTGATTTGAAGGGGGCAAAAACTGACTCTTACGATATATAGTCCCAACTAATTTGTCTATCCTCTTCGAAAGGAATTCTGTATTTATTTTCTCTGTAGGAATCAGATATCATTTATCAATTCTTCCAATGTTGTGATGATTCATAATATCGGGTATTGATCACGACAAAGATATTTCGAAAAATATCCAAAAAGATATAAAATAATACGAAAGTCAGTTAGAATTGTTGGTGTTATACTTTTGTCATGAACATAATTCTTCACATCTAAAGTATGGTTTCACAAGTCAATTAGTCATTTCAAGATATTGTTTGTCAATTACGTAGCTTATCTTGAAAACGGTTAACGTTCAGATCAAGGTCATTATTCCTTAGAGTGTCCCTATACCTCTTAAGATAACAAAATTCATCTCTTTAACAGATTAGGTACACTACCTCTTATGGGAAGCCACTTTTCAGTAAGTGACAATGTTTTTGTCAAACCAGTTCTTCATCAATTGCATGTCACAAAGCATATCGATCTACTACGGGTTACGTATTCATCAGCGACATGTTGTTTTTGTTGGTTTACTGCATAATATTTACTTGGTCACCGCAACAAAAGTATAGCTTTTTTACTTATGAGGCTGAAATTGAAAAAAAGTACATTCCTACGACACTTTTGATTTACCGTTTGCAGGTATATTACGTGTTCTCCTTGTAATGATCGGGAAATAACGGAAAAATCCATCGTCAATTCAGTATATAAATGGACTAAAAATTAGAATGAAAAACGCCTGTCAGCATTTGACTCAATGAACTAATACACATTATGTGTTTTGCTAAATTGGACAAGTCTGAATTGCGATTTAATTGATTAAATACTATTACATGTATTCGAAAACTTCTTCATAATTTGGCCTGAAAACTCATTTTTGGCCATTTAATTTTTTCATGGAAAATGAAATGTTTCAATTCAAAGAATTGTTTCATTGAGAAAATGTTTAGAAATAATAACAATTTGCAGATTTTCAGATACAATTATGTGCAATTCTACACTTTGAAAGGTTAATTTCTCCACCACATGGAGTGACATTTAAGTTATGTTAAATTACATTGACCTTTAAGAACACAAAGCCAACTGTATATGACTGTTGTTTAACCTTATCATAACCATTTACGTTCTGAAATGAGATTTTCTATATAATATATATCCCTATATACATGTAGCAAGCCGCCATACAATCATTTCATTTATGCCTTAAATTACCGTTATTTTTTTTTAACTTTTATAGCAACGGAGATAATTTGAAACAAGATGAAGACACCTACAATCTTGATTGGTACAGTTGCAAGGATTCTCCTAATATGGAACTTGGGAGCTGAATGCGTAAGTTACATCAAATTTGTTTTTTCAAAAGTTTAAAGCTTTTTATCGATTAAGGTCAGACGACACGTTCCTCAAATATATGTTTTATATCTCTTGGTATTGTATCAAAAATTATTCATATTAGCCATTCTCTTCTGATTTCTAAATTGTTTTCAAAATGTTTTCAAAAATAAGTACACAAAAATTTGAGTTAAAGGCCATTTAGAAGATTACCCATAAGGGTTATATAAGAAATATGACCCAATGGTATCTTGGCCAAATGCCTGGTAAGGTACACTAAATTTTTGTGAGGAAACTTATTTAAGTACCCATACTTCAATGACAAATTCTTAGAAAAAAATTATATATTTTTGAGGAACGTGTCGTCTGACCTTAATCTACAAAAGAATACAACTGCTAATCCGAAATTCCTTATGTTAATTTTCTTTATACCCCAAGTAACGGGCTGAGGGAGTATGTAAATGTTTTTCAGTCG